ACCTACTAGCGATGGCCTCCAACCTAGAAGTGATGGCCTCCAACCTAGAAGTGATGGCCTCCAACCGACTAATGGCCTCCAACCTACTAGCGGTGGCCTCCAACCTAGAAGTGATGGCCTCCAACCTGCTAGCAATGGCCTCCAACCCAGAAGTGATGGCCTCCAACCTACTAGCGATGGCCTCCAACCTAGAAGTGATGGCGTCCAACCTAGAAGTGATGGCCTCCAACCTACTAGCGATGGCCTCCAACCTACTAGCGATGACCTCCAACCTAGAAGTGATGGCCTCCAACCTAGAAGTGATTGCCTCCAACCTACTAGCGATGGCCTCCAACCTACTAGCGATGGCCTCCAACCTAGAAGTGGTGGCCTCCAACCTAGAAGTGATGGCCTCCAACCTACTAGCGATGGCCTCCAACCTAGAAGTGATGGCCTCCAACCTGGGAGTGATGGCCTCCAACCTAGAAGTGATGGCCTCCAACCTAGAAGTGATGGCCTCCAACCAAGAAGCGATGGCCTCCAACCTAGAAGCGACGGCCTCCAACCTTCTAGCGATGAGGAGGATCTGTTAGTCAAAGTGATACATAGAGATCTCTTCTGAACCAGGAGTGATGACCTGAAGCATTAAGGGGAGATGCCTGGTGATCACCCACAAGTCAACCTGTAGGAAAAAGCAAAGGAGCAATCATTTTGAGGGATGTTCGGCATTGGAACATCCAAGAAATTGTGAGACTTTGAGCCTTCCCCTCATAGGTTCTCCAGCTGGGGGACGAGATAATTCAGATCTCAGCCCATGGGAATTCGTGACGCCAAGCGTCACTGCAAGGCCGTGGCCGAGGTTGCACAGGTGGCGAAGAGTCCGTGCTATCCAACGGAATCGTGGATGAGCATGCACTCAAGCTACCACTCCCATCTACCAAAATGAACGCTTCCTTTTGCTGCCCATATGAAAGGAGGTGGCATGCGGACATGTGGACATTCCTACTCTGTACTTAAGAACACTGTTGATTTGGTTGAAGAGCGATGGCCTCCAACCTACTTTGAAGTTGTTGTTCAGCACTCAATGTTGTTCAACCGATCCGACACAAGATTTAGCTATGGCATCAGGGCATCTATTTCTCCCGTGCTCACAGAATCTATAGTCTGAAACAGTAGCAGTAAAAATGGACAAAAGGATATAAACAAAGGCCTACAGGTTCAAAGCCACAAGAACCCAAAAATAAGGTCCAAAGCAAAAGAATGGCGGACACTCTAAAGAACAAGAAAGGAAAGAAGAAACCCCACGGAACAGAACATGCATTTGGATCCCAGGATCCAACAAGCTCTCGGATTTTGGACCGCCTGTCGTCACTTTGGCAACCTGCACCCATTCCACCGGCGGGTTTTTCCTCCGGTCGGGCGAAACGTGACCCGACCGGGAACCCGTCCGGGACCTGGGCGAACGACCCGGACCTGTGCGGTGGTGACGGTCGGGACATTCAAATCGATGGATTTGTGACCATGTGGTAAAAAATAAAGACACAACATAACTATCATAACTGATCAAATACAAGATCTAATATCTGTTTTGAATGGTATTTTATGTTTGTAGAACGTCCGTGTGTTTGTTGTGTTTGGCACAGACAGGCTGAAGTTTGTAGAGTGATCAGTGATATTCAGTGATCAGAGTCTTGTTTTTCCAAAGAGCCTTTTGGTCTTGATTGGCCTTTGGGTTGAAGAAGCTGTGTTTTGCAAGGAGAACCAAGGAGGCATCAGAAGACTATAGAAAATCAGTAACAAGGTCACGTGTCCCGACCTGAATCTTCCGCCGTCATGGACGCTCCTCCAAAGAAGCTTTGATCCTTAGAGCCCACATTTGGATAGGGATATTTCAGCTGCACAACCTGGGACGCATCAAAGACACCAGTCTTTCTCCTTTTCCATTGGCATATATTGGCATGTGGATTTGACATCCATGTGGATCTGCCATCCAAGTGATTTCAGAGGAGGTAGCCCAAAGAGTACAGGATTTGTTTAAGGAACCGTTGTGTAATATATGATATGTTCTTTCCGCTGAAAGCTGGTCTGGCACCGGCACTGGCGTGAACCGCAGTTTAAGGCCAAAGGGCTTTCTTGTTGAATTTGTTTAAGGAACCGTTGTGTAATATATGATATGTTCTTTCCGCTGAAAGCTGGTCTGGCACCGGCACTGGCGTGAACCGCAGTTTAAGGCCAAAGGGCTTTCTTGTTGAATTCTACTCAAGCACAGAATACAACATCTCCCTCCCAAACCGGAAAATCACGAGAGTGGAGCCCTGCCCTTCCTTTCTTTTTCTTTGTTTGAAACGGCAATGGCCTCCAACCTACTAGCGATGGCAGCCGTCCCCAGTACCAAGATACGACACATTCTCATAGTGGATTTTCTGAGCACAAGATGGTGCCAAGATCGCACAATCTGCCCAGCATGGCTTTTGCTTTCGGCATCTTCTAGCTGTTGAGTTCTGCTTCATTGCGCAGTCGATCCAGCTCACCAGACAGCAATGGCAAGTTGTGCCACCAGCAGTCGATCTCGGCAAAGGATCTCAGAGAGGTGCGTCGTGACGTGTCCTCGTTTCACCGGGCTGAGACCGAAAGACAGGACCCAAAGCCAAAGAAAGACACGGCGCGTGGCATGAGAAGAGACACATTTGACCCTAGAATCCTGCGACATGGGACACGGTGACAACCAGAAGAACTCAGATGATATTTCTTCCAGAGTACAATCCTGTGTACCGCTTTACAGGCTGACAACAACAGGGGTGGTGTGGAAGAGGACAATCCTTGAGCAGCTGGGTGGTTGACTTGTCGGTTTTGGATGGGATCTCAAACAATACTAAATATTGGTCTCGAAAAATGATTGTTGCTAACGTGTGTTTTCATGTTGATGCATGTTGATGCTTTTGTTTTGGTGATGATGGGCACAACAGGGCACAACCTATGTGGGTATTTGATGGTATTTGGCCCAAGGTGATAAGTCGAACTCATGATAACTCGTGAGCGTCGTTTCATCAGACCCGAGCGGCGAGTCCATGACCATGTTGAGAGAGAAGACATTCATCAAGCATTATATGGGTCGCTGCGCACGACCATGTTCTTCTGGATGGGGCGCTGGGAGACCGGACTACCTTGGGCAAGTGTCAGAGTTAAGCAGAGAGAGCAAGGACTTCTTGGAAATGTTTCAATCATCCGGAGCGATAGGCACAGATTCAGTGAACAAAGCCAAGGGTTTAAGAACAAGGACCATAGATTGATACGCTTACATCAAGTCGTGTAAAATAAAGCAACCGCATGCCTCCTGAAATCGCTTAGACCGCAAGGAGGTCAGACCGAGACCGGTCAGACCGATGCCATGCTGCCAGACCGGAGCCGGAGCCCCTTCGGCTTGGGGTCTTAGACTCTGAGGAAGTCATTGAGGACATGGCCTCCAACCTAAGAGTGATAGCCTCGGACCTAATACCGATGGCATTAGACTTCGATTTGGATGAAAGTCACATCCTCCAGAGACCGCCCTGGAAGGAAAATAGAGATTTGATGACATTGGGAGGTCTGCGTATTACACACCCAACACCCTAAATGATGTCACATGGGCCAAGACAGTTTGGATGAAAGCCCAGTTCAAGGTTGGTCACTTTTTGGTCAATTGTTGCTTTGGATTTGAGAACCCGATAGCAGTTTGGTGTTTTGTTCAGCTCGAGCCAATGAGTCAATGATCCCATCGACGACAGCGACTCTGAAAAACTCTATTTGTTCGACTCTGGAAAACACCTCTGAGGTGCCGAACACCTCGGTGCCGAAGATGCACTTTCTAATAGCTTCTTATTACTACTAGTAAGGCACTTGTTACTAGAAGCGATGCACGTGTTCCTAGTAGCTTCTTTGATATATTTAAGGTACTGAATCGTCACAACAAAAAGGGTGCCGAAAGTCTTCGTGGCGATGGCTTCGGTGGAGAGGACGCTACGAACGGAGCAAGAAGCTACGAACGGAACCAAAGGGCATCGCTACGAACGGAGTGATCGGACGCTACTCATCGCTACGAACGCATCTTCCGGTTCGCAACAGCCATTGGCCGCGACGGCCGCTACCGAGCTCCAAGTCTCGCAGACGACCAACAGCTCTGATGTACAAAACGGACTGTGTGCATTCTAAGAGGGAGACACCCGTTCGCGCCCGTAGAATGATCTATGTTTCCTTCTTCGACGTTGTGGCTGACGGAAAGGAAAGCCCCTCTCCTGACCAGGCCCTTTGTAGTATAGAATCTATAGAATAGAGAGATTCCAATGATATTGGCTATATTTTGCTATAGGCTGAAGGGAAGTTCTTGCACATCCTCCAGTTCTCCTCAGGAAAAGCCAAAGACGGATTCCAACCTTGAAGCCATGGCCTCCAACCTCAAAGCGATGGCCTCCAACCAAAAATTGATTGCCTGCAACCCAAAAAGCGATGGCCTCCAACCTACTAGCGATGGCCTCCAACCTACATAGGGATGGCATCCAACCTAAAAGCGATGGCCTCCAACCTAAAAGCAATGGCCTCCTACCTACTTGGGAT